GGGGTCTCACCTACCAACCGCCCATTTCGCTGCTGGGCGCCAACCCCACAGCAGCACTTCTCAAGCTCCCTGGTCTCAGGACTCCTTTTATATGCTGAGAGATAACTGAGGATCGTTGGGCGCTTTTTTGGTTGACGTAGTTTCTATGAGTTATATATATTAGTAGTTTAATATTAGGTATTAAAATTGAGAAGCAATTTAATGCACGAGCATGTAGGCTGCTGGCCCTTGGAGCAACGGCACATTACAGGGCACCTTAAACCCTGGAAAACATCACTGTGTGCTTTCTTGAGAGCAGCAGTTGAGAAAGGAAAATGTTTTAGCATTATTAAGAAAATAGTTTTGACTTCTCCTTGTAATAGCCTCCAGGAACTAGAGTTCCTAGACAGACTTTGAGCATGACTTTCCTAGAGAGAATCTTCCAAAACCTAGAAGCAGCCCTAAATCCACCAAAGGACTCCTTCACTCCATGAACCACTACACAGCCATACAAAGGAATCAATTCCAATTATAGTCGATAACACGACAGACTCCTGAGCAGTGGAAGTTATGGGAAATTATCAGCTCTTATTTCAAGTTCAAAAAATGGTACAAATTAATAGCAAGTGCTGACGAGGAACATATCAGTAGTACAGCCAGTGAAAAGCCAGAGAATGAGCAGTGCCTAATGTGGGACCAGCAGCTGCTCCCGAATGGAGGGATGGGACATGCAGGAACTTCTGTTTTTTTTTCTGGGATGTGAGTGCATGGGTCCATTATTCCTGTTTCATACAGAACAGATATTTCAAATTGAAAACAGTAATTCAAACCAAAACAAAAATCACAAGATTAAGAAGTCATTGCATGAGAGGAAATTATTTCACTTACTAGCAATGGAGGAAATCACAAAGGAGTGGGAAATTTTGAGTATATTCTTAAGATGAAAAAAGTACAAGTTACAAACAAGAAAAGCCTAAACCAATAATTTTAGCAGCCGTACTAATGAAAACAATAGGAATGTAAACGTACAGAAAGTTCACTCTCCCTTGTAGTCAAATGCAAACGAAACAAAGAACCATCAGTTAAGAAATGACACTAAAGGTGGGTAAAGGTGTGGTGAAACTGACACTCCTAGGTGCCGGGAGGAGTGGACTTAGGTGCAGTTTTTTATGGAGGGAAGTTTGGCACACATATGAGATATCTTAAAAATATTTCCTCTTAAAACCAACCATCCTACTTCTATAGATAAGTCTTAAGAAATAATCTGAACTTACTGCACAAAAAACTGTGTATATTTAGATTCCTTCCAGCTTTTTGTTAACACATTTGTGTGTGTATTATTTATGGGGAATATAAAACACTTATCTTTAATTTATAGAACCTAATATTAAATGGAAAGCAAAACACTGCTTCACAAATATGGGGAAATGTCACTAAAAAAGGCAGGAACACAAGGAATGACATACACAATGGTCTTTTAATACTGCTTTTTTAATATGTATCATGTTACATTCTGTTTTAAATATTAGCAGGGCTCAGTATAGATAGTGAGCTTCTGAGGGAATTCTTGGACATCAAATACTTATAAACCGAAATAATAATAAACCCACAAGTCTCTCAGATGCTCTCTCAACTTGTTAAGGTACAGGTGTGTCATTCTGGTGCCCACAGCTCGAGATTATTACCCTGGCTTCCAGCCAGGAAGTGGGCTTACCCAACATGTCTCTCAGACTCTGATCATCATATGGCCTTCTCTGCCTGCCCAAGTTCTATCGTCTCCCAAAGTTCCTTTCCTACGAAGTTTTCTCTGACTGCTCCTTAACCTAGTCACCCCCACCATATGCGGCTTTCCTTGCCTCGGACTCCTACAAAAAGTGACTTTAGTGCCTTTGGTATTCTCCATACATTTTCAGCAACGAGCTCAGTTCTAAGGCCTCTCTAGACTGAACTGGCTCAGAGAGGGGCTCTCTTCTGCCTGTGTTCTGTTTCTCTTATTGATATGCTGCCTCCTAGAATTAAGCACATGAGTATTTGAGGAGCTGAATAAATTATTGCCACAGGGAATTAGTCTCTTGCCTTGATCATAGGGAGGAGGAAGAGAAAAAGGGGTATTGCTTTCATTTGAGACTCAGCAAGGAATTTTTCTCAGAAACAATGCAGCGGAGGGGGGGCAGGGTGAGAAGGGACCAGTGATTATGCATAAACAATTGTGGCTTATGTTCTGTTCTTTTTTGCCAGCTCAAACTGATACCATGTTCGGTACCTTAATTTCTATGAAAACAAATCTGTGCTTGAAGTTTCCAAGCATGTATCCCCAGAAGGGTTTTTGAGTACAGCCAGCGATAAAGTGATGAAGGAAAAATGCCACCTTTGCTTAAATCAGCCTTGTATTTTCTGAAGCAAGACTACTTGTTCTTTAAATTGTATCATATTTCATTGTGGTGACTTTGGTTGACAACACTGTATATGTTTTAGGGATACAGGTTCATTTCTCTTCAAATATGTTACCACATCACACCCACCCCCATTGGGCCAAGACATTGTTAATGACAGAAAAAGGTGAAAGACAAGAGGAAGCAAAATGGAGGTTCTAACCCTGAGTCAAATTTCTAAAAAGGACTTGAAAAGGGAGAAATGGAGACACCAAAACCCCTTGCTTTTTAAATCCATGTTCCCACTCAAACCTTTGCCTGATGCCTTATTTCAAGAAGCTGAAACGTAAATCTTCAAAGGTTTCTATTTTCCTTTCCTGCAAGTCATTAACTGCATTTACAGCTTCTGTGAAGGTAACTTTTGTGCACATGTTCACACATACCCAAGTACATCTATGTAAGGACAAACCCTCCCTCTACTTAATGCCATACAGTGTTGTACTCAGAAATAATGCTTTCATCCATGAGACACACTGTGCAGGTGGCTCTTTGCCAGATTTTGTTGGGGGAGGGGAGCCAGTTAGGGCAGTTCTTAATACAGAATTGGATTAATCTCACTAGGTGTATATGTAAGCATGATTCTAGCTGTTGAGTACATATACAGAGTTGAGTCAGACCTTGCTTCCAACATCCACAAATTGTCCTAGGCCCACAGACATTCTACTGGAGGAAATGAACAATAAGTAAACAAATGAACATAATTACAAGTTATGGTAAGAGCTGTAATGGGGACCTAGTCAGCCATGCCACCACCTAGTCAGGTCTTCTAGGCGGAGGAAGTGAAATCAGACTCAGTCTGTTTGAAGAACATAAAAGAGGCAGTGTGGCTAGTCATGGTGTTCAAACTGTGGGTCATGTTTATGAACTGTGATGTCAGTTTTGTGGCTTACTGCAAAGGGATTTCCAGGTTTTAGAGTAAGTAGCCCTTAATGAAATTTTGGTTCAGGGGTGTGTATGTTTCTTACTCTGGGTAGTGGTGAAATCTGCACTAAGGAGAAGTAACACATGAAGATGAAGGGCGGGCAGAAGCTAGACCATGAGACCTTGCCCTACACAGGTCGTCATAAAGAATTGGGGTCTTCATTCTACCAACAGTAGGAGGTCCTAGAAGGGCATCAAGCTGGGGAGTGACAGGATCTAATTTGACAGGATGGTGTTGCTCAAGGATCACTCTCACGAAATTGGGGAGCCTTGAACACCAGTCCAACCCAGCACTGAACACCATGGATTCTGAGCAAATCATTTAAATCCCTCCAGACCTTTCTTCATGTTAAAAATGAGATGGTTTGCCAAAGACACCCTTTAAGATCTACCCTATCGCTTAGTTTGTATGATTATATTCTCCCTGTACATAAAAGTAAGTAGCTGGGGGGAGACACTAGTTCCTTAAGTTTTGGGTTACTTTATCATGTAGCTGTGAGCATTTCTAGAGGAAGCAGTTTTAGAAGTGTCTCTTTACTGGCTGGAACCAGCTATGTTATTAGAAATGAGATTTCTAGGCTAAAAGCCAATCGAGTGCTTCTGCAAATCTCTGGTGCAAAGTAAGGGATGTGAAGACAATTGATAGGTATGAAGAGATGCACTGACCAGGCTGTTTGAAACTGAATTTCCTTATTGTTGGTCATCAACTGACACTTAACCCAGGACTGTCTAATAAAACAAGGTATCATGCTCACAGTCGCGGAAGTAGAGGCCACCACAGCTGTCACTCCCCTGGCTCCTTAGCATTCAAGGCAAGAGGCAGAAATGTAACTACTTTCAGAGACCGAAATGACTGTTGGGGCAAAATAGTCAGAACCTGTTGGCTCCTACCCCCAAGCTAGACGATTTGAGATAAGCTTTGTCATTTAATCTAACCCAATCATTCTCATTTCATAGACTGTGGAAACAGAAAAGTCAAGTAAGCTGTAAGAGGCAGGGCAGAGTTTGAATATTTGCTGCATATTCATAACCAATCACCTTGTATGTTTTGAATATTGATTGAACAGGAACTAAAGTTCACTGGCAGACAAGGCACATATCTGGGACACCTGGAATGGAGTGTTCAAACCCAGAAATCAATTTTGGACTCAGGTATGTGGCTTGGTACAGCATGGGATGAGAAGATAAATTCTTCCTTCATGTGGGGCCCACTCAGTGGGCAGCGTGCTGGGGTGTTTGAAGTGGAATTAGGCAAAATAGCCAAGGAATGTGGGTCCTCCACTAAGCACAGGCCACCAGCGGTATGGCACTTTCCAGGTTTCATTTTCAAGACTGTTGGCAAAAGATCAGCAGAGGCCCCGTGGACTACACAGGTTCACTTGTGCCCTGAGCCTACCAGTAGTGTCCTGCCAGTTCGGTCAACTCGAGGGGCTAGAAACTCCGGACTACCGACTTGCATGCACCCTGTAAACACAGCCCTGGACACATCCTTCGCCCAGCTGGCACTGCGATGCTTGGCAGGTGACAGGAGGAAAACCTTGGAAGCATGCAGGGCGCTGTCCCAGGGAGCAGCCCCTGGTCTGCTACCCCAGAGACACCGCCAACATCCCGGCAAAGTTAGGGTCGCCCACCGCACACTTGCCTCGACCCCGAGAAGGCAGTACCAACCTGTCAAATACTCGGCTTCGAACCTCCGCCGGGTCTCCGCAATGAGTTTGGCTTTCTGCTCGGCGGGATTCTGGAAGGGAGACGCGGGGACAGTCAGCTACCCCGCAGACCAGGCGGCTACCCCCCTCAGCCCAGCCCACCTGCCTCCGGATCCGTGGCCCCTCGGCCGGCGGCTTCCCGGGCTGCGGGGGCAGCGCGCTGCGCGCCTCACCTCGGCCATGGTCACGGTCGCAGACGTAGAGACCACCGTAGCTGTCACTCCCCCGGTTACTGTCCAAAGATCTCCAGGACCGGGCCCAGCCGGAGGCAAAGAAGACCGGGAGGGAGGGGGCGGGCGTCGCGTGACACCGCCGGGCAGGCGGAAGCGTCGCCACGCTGTCCAACCCGAGGCGGCCGCCTGGGCCGGGAGGCGGGACCAGCCGCTCAGCCTGGTGTCCCATTGGAGTCTCTCGGATCCCACCCCCAACGTCTCCAGCACGGAGCTCCGCCCCCACCGACCGTGGGCTCCCGGGCGCGGCCCCTGCGGAGCCCCAG